CTGCTGAACAGGTAAAGATGCAACTTCTTTTTTATTACCTTAGGAAAAATGTTCTTGCCTTTTGTTCAGATTTTTAAAAATTATTCTTTGTCTTTGTTTTGTTTGCTTATTTGATGTGAAAAGTCTTGTGAGTCCTCAAATCCCCAGTAGCTATTATCCCTTGGAATTAAAACTTTGCACCTAATAGAAAAATGTGTGCATCTTCTTCTAGGCCTCCTGTCTCTTACTCTTTTCAGACCGTCAAACCAGGGAAGATGAAATGTAAGGCCATAAGAGAAGCCTTGAATCATCCTCAGGACACAAGAAGTAGATTAGGATTATAAATTTGTATTCCAGATAACAGCATCCCTGGGTAGGGAACTGGAGGAACTAAGAGGTTATTGGGATGAAGCCTTCATTTTATCTTGATCACACAGTAAATAGAGAAAATATGAGAATATAGGTTTCCGGAGACCTGCTTAAACCTTTGCGGCTCCAGGCTACCTGGGGGAGAACACTCACACTCCCTGCTGATCTCAGTTAGGATGGAGCCCCCTTGCTGTGCAGTTCTGCAAAGCAGCACGGGAATCATGGAAGAGCCATACAGTGGAACCCATTCGATCATTAAAAGATCTGTGTGTTTTTGAAGATTTATTTAAGACATAATATATCAGATAAAACACGCATACATATACAAAATGATCTCCACTGTGGGAAAAGCTACGCAGATACAGAGAAAAAACAGAAAGGATATATACCCAAAATGTTAATTGAAGTTATTGTCTCTGGGTGATGGCTGGCAGGTGGTTTTCATTTTCTTTTCTAAACCCTTCAGTATGTTCAACATTTCTATAATAGACAAGTATTACTTCGAAAATAAAGAAAAATAATGTCAGGGTTTAAGGAACAAAACAAGACAGGGTTTACTAAAGGTAACTAGCTATTCTAGATTATGCCTGCCTCTTTGCCCTATCGATAGATTATGACTTGCCCTCAAAGGGTCACCCAGCAGAGGTTGTCTTATTCTACCCCGAGGCTGTTGTGATGATCAAATGAAATCAAGTGAGCAGAAGTCTTTTGAAAGGCATAAAACCCTCCACACCATTAAGAAAAGAAATGCATCAAATGTAATTAACTTGTATTAGTATGTGCCACACGCACAACACTGTAGGCTCTGAATGGTTCTATTATGTGACTTAAAAAATAAAAGGAAAACAACATAAGAAAAAAAAAAAAAGAGAAACGTATCTTAGGCTCAAAGCCAAGCATCTGACACCTCTATTCCAAAAGTGCATCTTGGGAGCTTCCAGCTGAGCAATGGGTGTCTCCGAGGTGTCAGGGCCAAGGCCCCGGCCATCTTGTTTGTCAAAGTCATTACTTTCCAAAACGAGGGTGGCTGTGCAATTTGAGAACTGGGGTTTTTTGTTAATGGCAAGAGGCCTGAATTATTTCATTTATTGTTCAAACTGGATACCATAAAATCCATCTCTAGTTCCTCCATGCCATCAGTTACTCCCTTCAATATTTAGTCTCCTTCTGGTGGCAATTTTGTACAGTTCTCTCTCCCCCTGATGGCTCTGTGCCTTTTTCACTTATAAATCCATCACCACCCAATGTCCAGTTGACAAAGGTGCATAACGTATGCAGTAAAAGAGTTCCCAACGGCTCAGAATCACTGCAAGGGCTTCACAAAGAAAATTGACGCGTCAGTGAATAAGATGCCAGCTGAATTTTCATTCTGAGTTAAAATACCCAAAGGGACTTTAAGTATTTACATTCACAGCTTTTACAGAAAGACTAAGCACAATTTTGAAGCTCATATTTATTTTTGGAAGAAAAAAAATTAGGTTAACAATGAAAGCAGGCTGAAAATTATGTATAAGGCAGAAGCATAAATTAATGTTTGGAATGAGACTGAATACTTGCTGGTCAGATTCACTTTTTAAAATTTTGAATTTTTGGAAAGAAAGGAAAGAAAGTGAAGATAAATCACTTAGTCTGAGGCATGAAAACCAGGCTGTTGTTTCCCAGTCTATACCTTTAATTGCTTCTTCCTGTGGTCAAGGAAAAAAGTAAGAGTTCTTCATTGGATTTCTGTTATGGTCACCATTTATTTTGACAAATAATACCATATTCTACATGCAGAAAATGTTTATTTTTCCTAACTCCAAGGTAATGTCTATACTTTTTAATACTGATTAAGTATAAAAAAATCAGTTGTGGCATAGTCATAAATACTACAAAACTGATGAATTAAAAAAATCAACTTGTACAACAGACCTACAATGAGTAAATATAATTTTCTGCATCAAAGAATAAAAAGCATTATCATATAAGGTTAAGAGCTATGAAACAATTTGCTATTATAGTTAAAAGAGAAAATCTCAGGAGACTGTCTTATAAATAAACGAGCCAGGACCCAATATCATTATGTCAAGACTCAGAATAAATACAAATCTGACAAGAAAGACCCATTACCCCATCATGGTTAATGTTTATTGTCTCAGTGTCTTCAGGGCAGGTGATTGCTTAATATTCCTGAGGTTTCTTTCTTCTCTCATATGACAAGCTATTAAAGGCTCTTTCCTTTTTTGTATTTCAAAACAGTTGTGTCAATAGTTCAAAATTTTTCATTTTCTCAAGGCTACTGATACCAATAAATTATAGCCTCTGGTTTTAACATAATTTAAGTCTGGATTAAAGAATTGTGGGCATATGTAGTCATTGTGTGTGTGTGTGTGTGTGTGTGTGTGTGTGTGTGTGTGTGTGTGTGTGTGTTCTACAGTGTTCTCACTTCTAACTTGACATAGGGCTTGTCTACACCTGTTGGCTGATGGCAGGATCCAGAGAAATAAACTAGGAGGAGGTACCTGGCCCAGAGCAGGGAGCTGATTGGCTCTATGTGGTAGTTTTCTATTGCTACATAACAAACTACCACAAATTTAGCAGCTTAAAACCATACCCATTTATTATCTCACAGTTCTCTAGGTCAGAAGTCTGGGTGGGCTCAGCTGCATTCTCTGCTCAGGGTCTCAAAAGGCTGAAATCAAGGTGTTGGTGAAGCTGCCTTCTCATCTGGAGGCTCCAATGGGGAAGAATCAACTTCGAGCTCATGCAGGTAGAATCCAGCTTCTTGTGGTCGTAGACGTCCTTGTTTTCTTGTTAACTGATGATGGCCAGGGATCACTCTCATTTCCTAGAGGCCACACCCAGGTCCTTTCCAGGTGGCCCCCTCCACCTTCAAAGCCAGCAATTCTTGAGCTTTGAGACTTTCTGGCTTCCCTTTCTTCTCCCAGCCAACTGGGAGAAACATAGAGAAAACTATGTTTTTTAAAGGGCTGATGTGACCTGATTAGGGTCACCCAGGTAATCTCCCTATTAATTAACTCAAAGCCAACTGATTAGTAACCTTAGTTATATCTGCAAAATCCTTTTGCCATGTAACAGAACAGAATCATGAGGATGGAGATCATGGAGGCCATCCTGGAATTCAGACTACTGCGTTTTAAGAGTCAAGAAAGAGGCTTCCCTGGTGGTACAGTGGTTAAGAATCCATCTGCCAATGCAGGGGACATGGGTTCGATCCCTCGTCTGGGAAGATCCCACATGCCACAGAGCAACTAAGCCCGTGCGCCACAACTACTGAAGCCCGCGCACCTAGAGCCCGTGCTCTGCAACAAGAGAAGCCACCGCAACGAGAAGCCTGCGCACCTCAATGAAGAGTAGCCCCCTCTCGCCGCAACTAGAGAAAGCCCACGCGTAGCAACAAAGACCCAACGCAGCCAAAATAAATAAATAAATAAAATAAATAGAGTCAAGAAATCCAAGAATTATAACCATCTAGGGGCTGGCTTAGATCTATGAGCTTCATCCTCAGCAGTGGTTCTGTCGTTCAAAGATAGGAAGCTAGATGTGTCTTACATCTTGGCTCAAAGCAAACTTTATTTCCAGTCCCTTCACCCTTATGTCCCCAAAGCCCTGTTCCTGACCTGAAACTGCTAAGTATCTGCACGTACTTAACAGAACACCTCTTATGAGAACACTCAATGGAAACCTTGGCACCATGCCCAGGAAGTGCGACCTCGTGTGATAGTCTACTGACAGATATGTAACATGGCTGTATGCTTTGCTCCCACAGCTGCCTGTGTGTCTACACTGAACGTCACACCTGTTTGGTGTTTTATTCCAGACTCGGAGGACAGTGACCATGAAGTCACTGCTGAGGGCGCTGTTGAGCATGCCTCCCCACTTCCGCTGCCTTTGCATCAGCCACCTCATTGGATGGACCGCCTTCCTGTCCAACATGCTCTTCTTCACAGACTTCATGGGCCAGGTAAGGGACATGTCTGTGCACACGCTCATTATCTCACACACCAGTCCCTCCATCAGCACCTGTGGAGCTTCTGAGCCAGCCTCTAAGGCGGGCACAGTAAGAGTGTAGGAAAGAGTACCTTCAAGGAGCTGGCTTACAGACAGATTCCAGAGGGAAGTTACTACACCCTACACAACTAGAGGACACTATGCGATGGGACCGGTACTTGATCAAATACAACAAATAAGGAAGAAAAATCAAGGTGAACTGTAGCGGTCACAGCAGGCTTAATAAAGGAGGTGCAGTGTGATTTGGATCTTGAAAGGTGAGAAGGAGTTGGAGAGGGAGGGGTGAAGGAGAAAACATTCTAGGCAGGGATAGGAATGGCATGTGTAGAGATGAGTCAGAAGCCTGTTGGTTGTACCAGGATATGGGTGGCCGGGTTGCCTATGGCAGGTAGAGCCAGCTGTTAGGCAGAAGGAGGGTTGTTAAAAATCCAGGGGGATGTTGTTTAGACTTTATGCATTAAGGCCTCCTGAGGGTCCTTCAATGGAGGTGTGAAAGGATGAAAGGGTGACGTGCTCATGGGAGAATGAGGTCTGAGCCCCAGGAAGGGGTGAAGAAGCAGAAGGTGTGAGAAGGGGTCCTTACCACCCTGCCCTGGTAGCTCAATGGCCCCAAATCTCTCTTGCAGATCGTGTACCGTGGGGACCCCTACAGCGCACACAACTCCACAGAGTTCCTCATCTACCAAAGAGGGGTCGAGGTTGGATGTTGGGGTTTGTGCATCAACTCTGTGTTTTCCTCACTTTATTCTTGTGAGTCTCCTCCTAAGGATGTCTTCTAAGGGCTAGCGGGATCTTGGATTCTATACATCTGTACTTCTATATTTATTTTTTTGCCCTCTAAGATGCCAGATTCTTGATAAATATGTATGGAGGCCAGGAAAAACGATTTCCTTAGAAAGGACCACATCAAGTAGCCTTTTCCCTAGTGAATTCTGGGTATCATTTTCCTCAGTGATTACTTTGTACTTGCAATCAGTGGGATCCTGATCAAAATACTTTGGAAAGTGACAGGAAATCTTGTAAACAATATGGTGAAGGATTGAATGGATGAGGGGTAGTCACAGCCAAGGTTATTGATTAACGGGAGGTCTGTGTTCTGCTGGAATAAGGTCACTGGTAGCGTTTCACAGATGTGCTTATCAGTCTTGACAGAAAATGAGGGATGGTTAATATGCTAGGTGACAAAAGGAACATATAAAATAACTTAAGCTCAGATGGGCGGGTATGTTACAGGGCCACTCTTCCAGATTGAGAACAACAGCTTTCCTTCTCAGACACCAGCTTTCCATGGGGTCTGGAGTCTATTAACCCCCCTTGGCTAAGATTACCTGTGAGGACACTGTAAACAAAGGGATTTCTGGGATTGGTTTTAAATAAGTCCAAACGGATGTACTCTAACTCTAGGGCATCACACAGGCTCGTTTTGTGCTTGCTAATTTGTTTGGAAATCTCCAAGTGCTGTACACATTGAATTAAGTAAAAACTCTGGCCTATAAAACATATGCAGGTCCCCCATTTGGAGTGGAAATTTGAGAGCTTCTCCAGCATTGTGGGGAGAATAGCTGGTCCCCAGGGCAGAGCTCCAGGCTTTGGACAGGCCCAGGGGACAGCGGGGGTATGGCCCAGGTTGGCAGGGAGGCGATAGGGGACAATCCCTGTTACCATTCTCAGGGGCATCATTCTGTCACTGAACTGTGCTTCTTGTGGGGATGGAGGCTGAATATATATAATGACCCCTACTCTGGCATTTAGCCCTTTGCCCAGCCATAGCACAGTGGGAAACCTGCTTCGAGATCAAGAAAAATCTCTTCAAAGTATAGCACAATTGGGAAAGGGGGACCTAACATAAGCATATTCATGAGCCCAATAATCATAAAACCATAAAATTCATTACTTTCAAATTTATGGTAACCAAATAGTGGTGGCTTAAAGCTTACATTCCCTCAGCAAACCCATTTTTTCCCCCTTAGAGTGTACGAATTAAGAAAACTCCAGGGTGCTTGCTTCGGCAGCACATATACTAAAAGGAAAGAAAAAGAAAAGAAAACTCCAGGAGGACGATTTCAACTACCTAGAATCAGGGAGTGTTAGACTGAAAGGATTTAATAAATTATCCATCTCAATCCCTTTGTGCTTTCAAGAGGTGGGGGGAATATTTACTACTATTCTCATTCTTGTAAGAGGAAAACATTTTTCTAAAAGTCATTAGTATTTGAATTTTGTGTCAAGTTTAACTTGTTTTCCTCAAAAAATCCCTTCTAGGGACCCTTCCATTAGTCTAGTCTGAGTTCCTGTATGAATTTCATGGCATTTGAAAATTCCAAAGCATGTTATATTTTAGGGCCTTTCCAGTTAAAATCCCTGTGTATAAAGAATACCTACTATTTGAATAATTTTCCAAAGTTATATTAATGTATAAATCTATGGGATCCCTATCACTGTGAATTAGAACTAAAATCTTCTTTATAAAATACCAACCAGCCCTACCCAAGGATCTTCAGGGGCTCTCGTGCCCATAAGATAGAGTAAAAGTCCTGATCTTGGCACTCCGGGATTCACAGTTTGGCCGGGCTCACACTTGGACCTTTGTCACTCCCACGCAGGAACTCTTCCAGTGACCCACTGCACAGATGTTCTCACCTCTGTGTGTTTGCTTTTGGTTTCTTCCACCAGAACTGCTGTTTCTACCTCCCCACCCAGACCCAACTCCAATATGTCCCTCTCTGTGCAATCTTTCAAGTCTTTCCCTCTGCACTCCAATCCACTCTGGGCAGAATCAATCATTTCCCTCAATTCCAGAGCACACTAGATAACCCTGTATTCACATACATTCATCACATAACATCAGGCTCAGACACAGAATTTCTATCCAGACAGAGTTTAGCAGGGTTATCTGGCTGCTGGGCGGGGCATGGGGAATGGTGATAAGGGACTTGTTTTTAAGCTCCTTTGCACAGCAGGCACACTTAGATTAATGAGAATAGCCACGCTGATACTGAAATATAGCCAATTGTTCATATCACACACTACTATCCATAGCTGGGGCTGAAATCAATCATTTCCCCACAATCCTAAGGAGAGGCACAGTATGAGTTGGTGTCAGACCCAGCAGAGGACAAGTCAACTTGGCCCTTAAACTTATTGCTTTCTCTTTATGAATAAAGCATTCTTTGCTAGACTTTCCATCTTCGTAGTGAAGTTAGTTATGTTTCCAAATATCTCTTTATCCTCTTTTGCCTCCTTCCTGGCTGGCCTATACACTTAGTGAGAGCATTTCCCTAGTGAATACTGATGGTATCTTTTAGGTACTGAGACAACTTAGATTACGTTTTCCGCATAAATGTAATCATTAAGCAAACAGAAACTGACCTAAATTTATACTGCTTTTATTCTCAACCTTGACAACAGCCCTCCAAGCATGGCATGAATTTAATAGAGGAAGCACTGTTGCCCATTTAACATTTTCAGAATTCCATAATTGATACAAATGTAATACATAATTGATACAAATGTAATAAATATTAGGTTACTTGTCTGTGCAATATAAATCCAATAATTATTTGAATAGACATGGAAAATTTCACTCTTGAATGGGCACGTTTCTAGTATCTATCATTTGTGTATCCCCTGGGTCCATGTGTTCCAGTAGAATGGGGCAGAGGAAAGATAAGGAAAGTACGGATTAAAAGCCATTTGCAGCAACATGGGTGTACCTAGAGATTGTCATACTGAGTGAAGTAAGTCAGACAAAGAGAAATATCGTATGATATCACTTATATGTGGAATCTAAAAAAAAAAAATCATACAAATGAACTTATTTACAAAACGGAAACAGACTCACAGACTTAGAGAAAGAACTTATGGTTGCCAGGGGGGAAAGGGGGAGCGGGGAGAGATAGTTAGGGAGTTTGGGATTGACATGTATTACGTAACAACCTAAATGGGAAAATAATTTGAAAAAGAATAGATATATGTATAACTGAATCACTATGTTGTACACCTCAAACTATCACAACATTGTTAATCAACTATGCTCCAATATAAAATAAAAAGTAAAAAAAAAATAACCAATTAAAAATGGAAGATAGAGGTTTTTTTTAGGGATTTTCCCTACTGTGGTGGAAAACATAGTAAAATGTTTTAAAGCTGAATTTCCAATTTTAAAAAATGAGCTCTACCATGAGTTCTTTATGAGCAAGCCAAGTTCACCCGCTGGGAGGGGACCCCAGTTAAGAGTCAACCATATTCAGCAAACTCTGTATTTATTGAAGTGATGATAGCCACCATTAACTGGATGTCTTCTGTGTGCTTGGCACTGGGCTGGGTGATTTCCTAGACGTTTTACTTCAGTTGATCCTGATAACAACCACCAAGAAGGGTTTTATTAGTTCCATTTTCTGATGAGGAAACTGAGGTTTTGAGAAGTTGTGGAACTTGCCCATAGAGGGTGAAGGCGCCAGTGAGGGGGAGGTGTCCGGTGCAGCAGGACCCCCTGACCAGCCTAGGAAGGGCTGGCAAGGCAGGGAGAGCATCTACAGGTGATGTACGTTCTTTACTTCCTTCTCAGGTTGTGCAGATGGCATTCAGGTGGGGCAAAGAAACTGAACGAGTTGGATCATTCTGTGCAATCTGGTTGTGTTAATTTCCTCCAACCTGACTTTGGACTGTGGGGCTAATAGAGACCTGGATTGTCACTTTGGTCTTGTTAGGCTAGATCTCTGAGAATCGGAAAGATACCCGCTTTTCTTCCATGGCTTGCTGCCCCAGGGTCCCATAACCAAGGCGGGCTTTTCAATCGCCTCTTTTGCATCCCGTTGCTATTCAGCTGCCCAGTACACAGTGCCTGGTCCTTCCCTGCAGAAAAGAAAATCAACCCAGCAAGGCAATATCCAGCTCTTCTTTACACAAAGGATTCAAAACTTATTCCAAAAGCCAGCTGTTTTCAAGCACAGATAAGGACTTCTGTTCCTGACTCAGTATTAAAGGAAGGCTAAAAAAAGTGAATCTTCAAAAGGAAAGGTTGTCTGAAATTATGAGATGATGTGAGGCACTGCCAGCTGTAATTTCTCCCTCTCTTCTCCCCACACACAGACTTTCAGAAAGCTTTGGTTCCCTACATCGGATTAAAGGGTCTTTACTTCATGGGGTATTTGCTGTTTGGCCTGGGGACGGGCGTCATCGGGCTCTTCCCGAATGTCTACTCCAGCCTGGTCATGTGCACCTTGTTTGGCGTGATGTCCAGCACCCTGTACACCGTGCCTTTTAACCTCATCACCGCGTATCACCGTGAGCAGCAGGAAGAGCAGGTGTGTTGTTGAACCTCTGCACTGAGTGACGTCCGGACTCACCTGGAGGCTGGGGGAAACTTGCTAGGAAAATGTAGAGCAGAGCTGGAGAACAGGGCTTCTTGAAACAGCAGCACTAAGATGTCCAGCCAGATGTAATGATGGTCTAGCCAAGGCCTGACCACTTTCCCAGCCCAACCCCTCCCTACTCTGAAGCCCTGTGCTCCTGGGAGCAGTCGGGCAGGTACCATTACTCCCATTTGTCAGATTAGGAAAGGTGAGGTTGGTAATGCTGAGAAACCAGCCCACAATCACACAGAGACAAAGCAAGGGAAACTCTGGGCTCATGACATGTCCAGTGTACCTGCAGTGTTTCTGGGTACCACAACGAGGGCCCAGGCCCTCAGCCACTGCAGAGGTGCCTGGTGCAATTTCCGGGAGTTACTGGTTGAGCAGCGTTTTCCTTGGAAGTCCGGGTTTTGGTAAGTCATGCCATGTGTTCAGGGAGGAAAGCTGGTCGCAGGTGGTCATCTCACCAGCTGCCTCAAGGGAGGCCCGCCCCATCTCCATCTCGGAACTCAAGCCAGAGGGCAAGACCCTATGCTGCCCTAAAAAAGCACTAGGTTCGGTATTTCTGCTCATTACCACGTTTTCTTATCCAGATATGCAACTTTTCCCCGTGAAAATAGGCTTACATTTCTTTAACTGTAAAAGTTAAAGAGATGGCTATTAGCTTAATCCGTCACAGTAGGAAACTGCAAAAATGCTGAACACGCGGCCATGTGACTGCAACGCTGGCCTTCTTTTTCATCATTTGATCTGGTAAACACAGCAGGAGAGAGTTGCACCAGGTGTTAAAACCTTTTAAACGAGAGTTGTAGCTGTCCTCTTCCCTGGCAGACATGGTCACTAATGTTTCAATGCATGGCAGGTGCTTTGCTGCTAAAGAGACAGCTATCATAAAGAACTATCCCTCCAAGAGGGAGTTGGATGGTACTAGGCCCAAAACACAGAGGCTTTGGACTCAGAGAACCCTGGATTCAAATCCTGCCCCCCCCCCCACTTTTGACAGCTGTGTGACACTGGGGATCTTATTCATTTATTTATTAAATATCACTCAAAATGAGCTCATGTTTAGATGGGGGTAATAAAATCACCTGGTTCAACAGCCACAGTGATATACATGTGTGCATCATGTGGCTCCCGCCTACCCCTCCCTCCACTCCTTCCCTGTCCTCGCCTCCCCACCCTGGGCTCCTACATGTAAGCACTCTCTTTGACAAAGCAGGTCTTTGTCTATTTTTCCAGTATCTTTTAATGAAAATCCAGCGATTATGAATCTATTTTCTTATTTTCCCTTTCTTATGCAAAGGATAATGTGCGTTTTCCTGCACAATGATTTTTTTTCATTTAATAGTATAGGAATTATCATTCAAACTCTCAGACCCTTAGTTTTCTAATCAATGAAGTGGGAATGATACACCCACCTTAGAGAGTTGTTGGAAAATTAAATGAAACAAGATAGTGTAGGTAATCTGCTTAGCATAATGCCTACCTGGCACCTGGCAAAGGCTCAAAAAATGGTAGGTAGTATTATTATTGTTATCATGGGGTTAATGATTATGCTATGTGCATCTAGGGAGGTGGTAAGAATGAAATGAAGTAAGGTATGTGAAAGAGTCTTGCACAAGGCCTAGCACATATACGATACCCAATAAATGGCAATGTTATCAACCAATTCCGACCAAATATCAAACTAATCAAATATTAATCTACTAAGCAAAAAGCAACCATATTTTGAGAGGTTGAATTGCTTTTTTATGTTGCTACCCCTACACATATCTGTGATTCAACATCCTTCTAAAAATGTTTGAACTGTAAACACTAGGGAGGAGAAGGAATGGGATATTTATTGAGTTTCTACCGCATTGTATTTATTGACTTATTGATTTATTGAAGAGATAATTTTGCGTTCTTAACCATTTAACTCCCATAGGTGTGAACAGTGGAATTTAAGACTTTGTGGCAGGTGGGGAAGAAAGGTGCAGGCAGCGGGGTGGAGCTTGAATCAGGAGTTGATAAACTGTCTTCTTGGCCAAACGGGGTCTGCCACCTGCTTTTCTGTACAGTCTGTCGTGTACAGACACGACAGGAATTCTAGGAATTCTTTGACAATTTTAAAATGATTTTTAAAACATCAGTGGAAGGATAATATTTGTGACAGGGGAAAATTACATGAAATTCAAATACCCGTGTCATAGAATTCTGTTGGAATGCCAACTTGTTTATGTTCTGTGGCTGTTTTTGCACTGCAACGGCAGAGTGGTGTAGTTGCAACTGAGATCATACAGCCCACAAGCTGCAAGTATTTATTATCTGGCTTTTTATAGAAAAAGTTTGCTTGCTGCCTTCTGCCCTGAAGGACAGTTGGTGCAGATCAAATGCTGTTCCTGTGCTTCCCTTGCAGAGGCAGCAGGCCCGGTGTGGGGGCCCGGATGGCAGCGTGAGAGGGCAGGGCGTGGACTGCGCTGCCCTCACCTGCATGGTGCAGCTGGCTCAGATCCTGGTTGGAGGTGGCCTGGGCCTTCTGGTCAACATGGCCGGGAGCGTCATCGTCGTGGTGATCACAGCCTCTGCGGTGTCACTGATTGGCTGTTGTTTTGTGGCTCTCTTTGTTAGATATATGGATTAGGTCAATAAAGAGACATCATTCCTAACCCCAGACACAGTGGAGCACACGGCAGGAAATGGATCGTTTCTTTAGCTCTGCATTGTTTGTATCTGCCCGTTGGATGCCGTGTGTTACGACTTCGGCTGCGGTGATCTGCCCACCCCTCACTCTCAGCCAGCCCTCTGCACATCCATTTCCCTATTTCAGGCATCATTTGTCTTAGGAGAGACTGGGCTATGCCTCCATTCACTGGGGGCAAAGGGCAAGTGTGGGTGACGGCACCTCCCCACGCCTTTCTCCCTCCGTCTCAGTGCAGCGGAATGGAGAGGCAGGGTCTGTTTTCCACAGGGCATTTCGGGCCTTGATGAAAGCTGAGAAGCAGACTAGCACGTCCCTGTGATGCTGGGATTTATGCTGTGATGTGATTTTTTTTAAAACCTGGTGTCCATGTGTGGTTGGCGGGGGGCGGGGGGAATAATATTTTTCGTCAAATTCACTGTAACTCAAAATATTGCCAATGATTTATTTAAAGATATTAATTCACTCATTTTTAATTCATCTTTAACTCGCTCATAATTAATTCATGCTAATTTATAATATCCCTGACAAGTCTGCTTAAACATCTCATGCTGGAGGATTTACCACTTTGAAATAGCTCATCTTATTGACACAGTAAAAATCTTTCTCTCCAGTCTGCACTTTTGTTCCAGCCGCTGGAGTCTCTATGGAAGCCTTTCAAAGAACTGCCTTCCGTTTCTCTCCTCCAAGTGAAGCCGTTTTCTCAGCCAGAGAGACGGCAGCATGGTTTAATAAAGAGACCATGAGCTTTAGAGCCGGGCTGGTTTGGGATCCTGGCTTTGCTGCTCCCCAGCAAACTACAGACCCTCCCAAGCCACACTCATTCGTCTGTACATCCTACCCCAGAGAGTTGTGGCCATTTGTAATACGTTAACACTTATGGAGTGCTTACCACCATTCTCAGCGTTTAACCTGTGTTAACACAGCAATCTTGAGAGAGGCTGCTGTTACTGATCTCCATTTTACAGATGAGGAAACTGAGGCAGAGAGGCATTACAGAACTCGTCTGAGGCTACACAACTCCTAAGTGGCAGAGCTGGGCCTCGACCCCAGGCACTCTGGCTCTGCTGTTTCCGGTAAGAGCAGAGCTTAGGCTGGCAGTTGGTCTGCACTAGAAAAATGATGGCCATTGTCACTATTTTTGAAGGCTCACCGTCCTGCTCTCCCAGACCTCGATCCTTCCATTCCCAGCCTTTCATAAGTGTTTGTCTGAATAACACCAGATGTGCCTGAGTGGTGCAGAATGACTTGCCCCCATGTTTTTACAAGTTAAAAAATGTTTGTGGTTCTTCCTCCTGTCTCATCTTAGAGTCTGATAGTGTAGTCGTTGCCTCAGGTGAATTTCTAGCTTATCAAAACCTCCCATGTCCGAAGGGAATTTGGAGAAAGGAAATGAGCCGCTCTGAGAACAGGAACGTGGGGATTTGGGCTGTTCTCTGGTTTTTCTCCTGTGTAGCAGGATGGATGGTTTGGTAGAGGGGCCAGGCCCCTGCAGTGTCAGCTCATTTGGGGGGTAGGGGTTCTGAGAAGAGGAACCGTGCTCTGGGGGTTCTTTGGGTTCTCTTTCGCAAAACTGCTCAGGGCACAAGGGGCGCAGGCCCACTCCCAACTTCTGCTTTCCGGGGCCCAGGGTGAGAACACTGATGAAGGCCCTCCCCCCACCCTTAGCCCCACCCAGCACTGTGAGGGCCCTTGCGTGCACCTGAGCACCTGCACACCCACAGCCTTCCCAACCCCTCCAGCCTGTACCACACCTGCAAACAGCCACACTCAGCCTCCCCTCACACCTAAGGGTGCAGAGGTTCAGCGGTGTCATTCACCTTCCGGAGGACAGGACCCCCGGAGCCCTTGTAGAGTCAGGGCCACTTAGATGGGGAATTCTGACGTCTTGGGGACCGAAGTATAATCTAGAAGGTGTGGGTGTGGAGTTCAGGCTCCAGGCAGCTCTGGATTCCTTGCTATGTGGGAAGGGGTACAGGTGGGAGGGGAGGACAGAGCAGTGCCCTCTAATAATCAGAGCCAGGGCAGGAGGCCTGGCTGCCCGGGTCTGAGGGGAGTACCAAAGAGTACCAGCAGAAGGGCAGGGCCAGATCCACTGTCACCGCGTGGCAGCCTCCCTCTCCTTCCCAGTTTCTCCAGTGGCCTCAGGCTGGGTCTGTATTCTCTCACACTCATTCTCCTCTTGCCACTTTTGGGCTTCCAGGCTGCTGCAGTTCTCTTGGTTGCCTCCGTTTTGTTCTAAGAGCCTGATCTCTGCTGCTCTTGGGTTGTGGCTGGGGCAGAGCTAGCGTGTGTGGGGCGGTACATCGGGGGCACCCCTGTGGATCTGGGCTCTTCTTGTGTGTGTGTGTGTGTGTGTGTGTGTGTGTGTGTGTGTGTGTGTGTGGGTGGGGCGGGGGGTGTGTGTGTGGCGGGGGGGGGCGGTGGTGAGGGGAAGGAAGGCAGCGACTTACACCGAAGCGGTCACCCCTTCCTGCCTCCTGCAAAACACGCAGCTTGCTTATCTGGCAACAGGCTCTCTGGGCTCCCACAGTTTATCCCATTTTCTCCAGATTAATTTTTTCCAGACTGCGCTGAGCTTTCTCCTCAGAGCTGAGTGTGCCATTGCCTCACTTATCAACCTCTGAGCCCTGCTTTCCTCCTCTCCACAGCGGCACTTATTTTCTGCCCCCCAGTCGGGTCCCCCTGCCTTCTACTAGTGTATTCACTCCCAAATGAAAGTTACCACATTCACAGGCAAAAATATTCCATCTTCCCCAGTCTTCCTTCCTCCCTCTCCGCCTCACGTTATCCATCTGAGCACAGCAGGGTCATGACTGACTTAGAGGAGTGACCGGGGAGAACACCTGCCCCCAACCCCACAGTGTGGGTGAAGCCAGGGCTTCCAGGACCCCACGTGACACAGCACCCAGCATTATGAAAGAAACAGCACCCAGCCGCCTCTCCTGCGTCACCTACCTCTTCTTGACCTCTACAAGCGGAAATGGAATTATGTGCTGAGTTCTGTGTTTATTTCCTGATCATTTCTCCAAGGACTGCTCAGGTGATTAAAGATTTTGAAATGAATGACTGGGTGAGCTGGGAGGGTGACCTACAGCTGAGGGTCCTCTTACCTGGACCCCCAAGAAGTCAAGAGTAGTCGTCTCTGACCAACCACAGGGCATCGGGGCCTGGTCTTTATTACAGGGGAAGCTCTTTTCAGATGGAACACTGGATGGGTTATGGGATGAAGAAGGGAGCTAGAGCACACAGCCTCTCTCTCTCTCTCTCTCTCTCTCTCTCTCTCTCTCTCTCACACACACACACACACACACACACACACACACACACACAGTCACACTCAAATATTCAAATACTTTACTCCCTTAACTTCATTGAGGTTTGAATGAGTGAATAGAATCCAGTTTCAAAAGCCTTTAACCACCTTTGGGAACCTAAGTACTTGTTCTTAGTATACCAATGACATATACCCTCTGAGACAAAAATGTCTCATTCCCAGACAAATAAAGCAAGTATAGGGATATCTACATTCTTCACAGAAATCCTAGGAAATCCTGCAGGAGAAAGGGAAGCCACACTGCTTTGCTTCCCTCCCCCACCATGCACCTGGCATTCAGAGACTTCCTGGCCAAAGCCTTCCATCACTGTATTTCCTCAGCCTCAGACACCCTCTCTATGTGCCCACTCCCCCGTCTCACCTGCCAGATCTGCCCATCTAAAGCGTACTTATATTCCTAGGTCCATCTCAAATACTGCTTTGGCCAGGAAGTCTCTGATCCCCCCAGGAGAATCAAGCTTTCCATGCCTGTGTTCCTATAGATAGCACTTTCTTTTAGCCCTTACTATGACATTCAACTCACTGTCCCATGACTCATTTGCCTTGTGTACATGGCACTGGAATGTGTTTGTGATCCCAGCACTCAGGATAGAGCTAGGCACACAACAAGCATTCAAAAAATAAGTTGCTGATGTCAACTGGATCTGACCATTTCCTTGTTGATGCTTTTGTCCTTGTGGCAGACAGAAATCTTCGTCTTTGCTCCCTCTAGCCGTGTTCTCAGGAGTCCTCGGGTTTGGGTGGGGACGAGGTGACTCGTTTCATAGAGTTTTTTCACGAAGTCCTTGCCCCCAGCCCCTTCTGTTTTTCTAGTGCCCAGAAGCACACACTTCAACATATTTTCCCAAAAATCCTGGGCTACCCACACATAATTTTATCGTCAAAATTGAAACGGCAAGTTGCTTTGATAAAGAGAATCTCTCTGTAAACGTCTCATATCAGCGTTACACATAGATACACGACCATGCTACTATTTGTTCTTTGGGGGTGTTTACTTGTTCATTTATTTTGTATTTTGGAGACATGGAGGGCTTGCAGTTCAATTTTTATTTGCCCATTGGTCCTCAATATCAATATCAGTAAATTTTCTTTCGAAAGGGCAAAGAGAGACTGATTTGACTACTTTTAAACAAAAGCATTTTTCTGTTTTCTGAAAAAGGTAACTTCTCAAGGCTGCTCAGGATTGAGGATGTTAGGCAGCTTTTGTTTTCGTGGCAAGGTCTGAGTGTTTGCACTGTGTGTGTTAACAGAAAGCAGGGCCAGGGACGCTGGGGCCGTGCAGTTCACATTTTGAGCCTTAAATCTCAGACGCTACTGGGAATTTCCAACAAAATCACAAAACAATTGACAGTTCCAGAGGCTATTTAAGCAGACATGTTTGTATAATGATTATTTATGGTATTAAAATAAGCACACCAGTAGGTGCCTACATTACCTGTTTTTTGATCCCAAACTAGGTCGCCAAAGAGAACAACCGTAGCACCTCGGTCAAAACTGGCAGCTGGATGGGTAGATTGTTGGATCCCCACCCTGAGCAGCCTCAAGAAAGGACTACTCTGCCGTGACCGGAACGGAATTGTTATGAGAAACGTGTCACCCTTCAGAT